TATATATATATATATATATATATATATATATATATATGTATATATATGTGTGTGTATATATATCTATATATATATATGTGTGTGTATATATATCATGGAACTAACTTCCCAATCAACATCAGCAAGACAAAGGTTTACCTAGAGGTAAATTAGACTTCACAATGGTCACATCTTCACAGAGGTTTCTCTTGATATAATAATAATACTGAATAATCGACTTCACTCTTTCAGCTTCTGCGCCAGCTGGGGAAAATTCTGTCCGACTCACCGAACATGGCGCTGACCTCCCCCGCCATGAGCACGGGCACCGTCTCGTTGTACAGGTTGACGTCGATGATGCCCTTCCGGATGGTCTCCCCGACTTTGGCCCCCAGCAGCATGGAGCCCAGCGTCTCGAAGATGGACGCCAGGATGCACGCCTGCTTCAGCGTGACCACGCCGGAGCCCACCGCCGTGCCGAAGGAGTTGGCCACGTCGTTGGCGCCCACCGAGAAGGCCAGCACGAAGGCGATGATGAAGCCGAGGATGACCATCCACAGATACGCATCCATATCCATCTTGATATGATTTTTTGTGTTTTTAAAAATCCAAGAGGAGAAAAAAAAAAAAAAAAAAAAAAAAAAAAGGAAGTGCTCTGTGCGCTTGAAGCGGAGGACTTAAGCCAAGTCCACTCCTTTTTTCTTCGTCCCCTGGTTGTAAAGAGTTCGAGGGGAGAAGTAAAGCCGCTAACTAAGCGTTTGGAGCTCAGTCCGGAGATTGGAGACTAGTGATGGTGGGTGCGGGGAGCATTCCATAGCTTAGTGTGAGACGGCCTGTCCGCGCGATCCTTCACCTGCCGGAGAAATAAAGGGGGACAAGAGACGCAGAGACAGATTAGTGTCATGAGCCATGACGGCTCTTTATCAACAGTGGCTACCATCTGACAACACCTCCCTTCAGAAGAGCTGAAACAAAGGAGGGGAGAGAGAGAGAGAGAGAGAGAGAGAGAGAGAGAGAGAGAGAGAGAGAGAGAGAGAGAGAGAGATCTCAGACAGCCATAATGGGACATCACAGTCTGCACTTCAAAGAAATCGAATCAGAGTGCTCAGAGGGCCTGCTGTTAGTGCCGGGACTATAAAAAGACAGCGGCGTCCAGAGCGAGATCGGGATACGAGCGACGCCCCCCCATCAGACTGAGCTGTTAAATGCTGTTAAACTGCCAAAACCTGCTTCTATTTCACATGTTTGCCACACATTTACTGAGTTCCCATATTAGACCACCAGAATATATATATATATATATATATATTTATCATTTTCACGTGTGACACAGTGATGCCAAAAGCTGATAATAGGCAGAATTACCAATTAGATTAAATGTTTCACATCAGGATGTCCGTGAGGTGCCTGAGAGCGGTTTGACCGCGAAGATCTTACTGGAAAACAAATGTGAAACAGTTTTCAAGCCCGACTGCGTTACAACCTTCTAATCTTTGCTCTTTTCAAGCTTCAGCAACTTCAAACAAATAGCGAAAGCTTTGCTGCAGTACAACATAAAAAAAGTACATGGATTTAAGTTGAGACTGCAATGCAGTAAGAACATCAGCAGTGACGCTTTACTGCTGCGAGAGGTGGGAGCTGTTGTGTAAGTAGACTGATGAGAGAGTAGAGAATGTGTAACTTCTGTGTTCTCTTGTGTCTTTTTCTTAACCTAGAAAATAAAGAATTATTTCAAATGTAAGTTGCTGTACATTACAGCTATTAAGTCTATATATAGTCCAACAATAAGCATGATGAAAAGGATCAGTGTTTTGGATGATGATTTGAAAATACTAATAAAATCGAATTGTTCCTAATCTAATTATCTTTTGTTTGAAAGAAAACTTTCCAAAATCTCTTTGTTTCAGCTTCTACGATGTCACGATTTGCTGCTTTTCTTGGTTTTATGTCACTGTGAACCAAACATCTTTCAGCTTTGGACTCGGTCCGACAAAACATGACATTGGAAGACGTCGTCCTTGCCTATCGGAGCTTGCAAAGGATATTTTTATTGCTATTTTCTGACTTTTTGTAGACGATCAAGCGATGAATCAAACCAGCGGGAGTCGCAGCCCTCCTAAAACGAGAGTAACACTTCAACAACTTCCCACGTCCCGGCAAAGTTCCACGAGGCATATTTACATGCAAACGATGACGACGTGCTTTAAGAGGAGATGATGAGGCCACCAACACTGAAGCCTCTGGTGGTCCCTGAGAAAACTCCACACCACAAATGACTCGCTCTGGCTTCTCTCTCTCCTCTTTTGTCTCGGCCACATAATCAAAGTCGTTTATAGGGGTTAATGGCAGCACATTTCCATTTTTGGTTAAGCCAATTGTTAATGGGGGAGCATTGAATGTAAACAGCTCGCAGCACATTCCCTCGACATGAACCGACTGTGTGCTCCCCATCGCGTGGGGATGAGCAGCTCCTTTCTAAATAGCCCTCAGGAAGTCATGGCCGCCTCCTCCTGACCGAGAGCTCCATCTGGAACAGTTGAGGTCCCGTACTGCTACCCCTTATCCTGTATTGAACCACAACGCGCACACGCACACGCACACGATAATAACTTGTCACTTGGTCAGGTCTGCCAAGACCTCCCTAGAAATCAGTATCTAGTAGCTGTCATTTTCCCCCCAGTAAGTGAGGGCAGTTTTGTTTTTTAGCTCAGGGGTTGCCAAATCTCAAATACTGCACTGATCCCTGAAGGGAAATTGTCTTTTCACCTGCTTCCCTCCAGACAGAGATCAGAGTGAAGGATCAGAGGCCCTGGACTTAAAGAGTCAGAGAGACTCTCAGACTGAAAGTTCATAAACTGAAGTCATGAACTCATGTCCATCATGACAATTGCTAGTAAGAGATTAACTAAATTAATAATTTATGACCAAACCTAACAATACAATCACAGGTAGGGTCTCTATCTGAATAAGATACCATAAGATGCGATAAGATACCATACAATAACATATCCTACCATAAGATACCCTACGATACTATAAGATACGATATGTGGCTACTGTGGCGAAGTGGATAGCAGGGCCGACCTTCAATCATCAGAGGATTGGCAGTTAGATCCCCGGGCTCCACTAGTTGCTTGTTGATGTGTCCTTGAGCAAGACACTTAACCCCAAAATTGCTCCTGTAGCTGTGCCTACGGTATAGAATTGTGATAGAATCTGAATTGTAAGATAAGATACCATAAGATAAGATAGCATAAGATAAGATAGCATAAGATAGAAGGAAATTCTTGTGCCAGAGATCGATGAAAGATTACAACAGAAGAAGAAAAAACAACAAAGATTATAAAGACATGTAAACAATAGAGTAATAAATATATATAAAGTGTAAAAAAAGTAATACTGACACCAGTACAAAATAGAATAGCAAGATAAATGTAGTAAAATAAGTCAACTAAATTAACTAAATAGCAAATTAAAACAAGAGTAAAAATGAGACGTAATACTAACACCAGTGCCTAACAGAAACTAAAAAAGAAAGGTTTTTGAGACATACCCTGAATATTTATAACACCTTGATTTATAATATGTTAATTTGAATTGAACCTAATTAGCATTTTTGAGGGGTGCTATATAAATAACACGTTTTACAGTCAATATATTGACAGGAACAGACTAACACGAGACACTGTGTAAATGTCTAACCCGCCTCCAGAGAACCACATAGTCGATCATGGCCCTCCACCAAGCACAACCAGAGACTCCACAGAGGACACGGGGAAACACGACACCGGAGAAAGGAACGGTGAGTGACTGGAGCGTCGGCGCCGACACATTAACCAGGCCTTTTTAATCGGGTCTTCAACTGTCTAAACAGGGAAACTCAACGTGACAGCTGCAGCCGATGCTCGGGCCATTCTGAAGACTTCACGCCGCCGCTCCCAGTGGTGCACGTAAGAAGTATTTCCTCCGAGATGAAATAATAATAATAATAATAATACATTTTATTTATATAGCGCTTTAAAAGGCACTCAAAGACACTTTACATGGTAAAAACAGAAACAATAAAAGCATTTATAATAAAAACAAAATCTACAACATGACAGTAAGAAAAAATAAACACGAAGAGAAAGAAAACATACATGACTGACTTTAGAGGTTAAAAGCAGATTTAAATAGGTGAGTTTTAAGTGCAGTTTAGTAAAATAGTTTAGTGGTAACCTGTGGAGTCCTCTTATTGACCGCTGTGCTACAGGAGACTCAAAAGGTTCCCCAGTCCTAAAAGAAGGTAAAATATGTCAAGTAGTCAAAAGCCTGCCTCAACAGCCTTTTTCAGGGTTACAGGATGTAGTAGACTGAAACCAAAATGACAAATCAGAGAGCCGTACGTCGTACATGGCGACCTTCACCCCGATAAGATATACAATTTCTAGATGGATATTTCTCACTTGGTAGAGGACATCAATAGGGTTTTTCGCTCAGTACCCGACACATCGCTGCTGGAGACCAAGGGCGCATTGCTGGGCCCACTGGAGATAAGGGACGCGCGGGACAACCAGAACTAGGAACCAGGACTGCACGTAGCAGACACCTGCTGCAGTAAAATAAGAGGTTTTCTAAAGCAGTGGTTCTCAAACTTTTTCTGTCACGCCCCACTTTGGAGGAAGAAAAATGTTCATGCCCCACCACCCACAAAAAATAGCTTATTGTGGCTGCAATTCACCTGTTTTGCACCGAATACCTTTCTAAGATAATAAAATAAACTGCAACCTGTGAAAAACTAAACAAAACAAGTTCAAATATTTGGCAATAAAGAGTTTTACTGAGTTTTACACTGCATATCTTTTCAAAACAATAACGTGCAACCTGTGCAAAACTAAACAAAATGCTCCAGATATGTGTCACACATATCTGGAGCATTTTATTTTAAATATGCTTTAAAATGTAGCATTCTAAAAGTAAAATAGCTGTGATTTAACAGCACGTGGGACTGTTGGGACTGTTAGTACACTGGCTGTGGTCATCACAGTGAACAGTGTGTACAGTGTGATGAGAGGGCAGGTGAGCCCTTGTTGCTGTACTTTATCTCCTTGGAGCAGAGTCTGCATTTAGCATACCCTGCCTTATCAATGTATTTAAAATACTGTGACAGCAGGAAGCTGTACTCACGTCTGTTTAGACCTCCACCTTTATCCAGGCCCAGCTCCACCTTTATCCAGGCCCAGCTCCACTCACAGCTCAGCCCTGCGTCAAGCTGCGCTACACAACCAACCAACAACTTCACCCTGAAGCTCTTTGACCTCATCATCTCATCAGTATCTAGGCCTTTCATTCTACTTTGAGTTAAAACAAACAACCTGCAACCAGATCCGCCGGTGTTCTGGTTTAACGTTAACGAGTGACCGTGTGAACTGAACCGGAACACGGGGGGGCTTCATGTTTCATCACGTTACGTTTTTTCCTCCTAAATCGTGATAATGACGAACGTTAACAGTCCACGAAGTTCCGCATGCAATGGACGTTAACTTAACCCAGCAAGTCTGAACGGTAACGGGACATAACGTAACTTAAACTGTAACGGAGGGAAAGACGGTGTAGACATCTTAACGCTGATTGGCCAAGACTCGACACGTCACATCAGAGATGTTTTATTGTGAAGATCACGACATCACCTTTTCTCCTCGTCTCACTCCAATCTGAGAAATGCTGGCTGGCCAGTTGACCGCCCCCCCCCCCCCCCCAAAAAAAAACCCTCTACGGATCTACACGATTCACGTGGATGATATATTTTGATTTAAAATCGACAAGTTTGCAGGTATGAATAAACTTCTTGAAATAAAAAAATTCTGCATTTCC